AGTTGAAACTTAGACAAAACTATATTAAAATCATAATAAGGGATATGACGAAACCCTTTCAATACAACGAAAGCTGAAACTGTCAAAAATATATTAAAAACATAGAAAAGAATATGACGAAATTATTTTGAAAAGGTTTTGGCAGACATCTATAGTATCTAATAAAATAATAATACAAAAGTTTTCATTTATATTCAATATTTGATTACTATTTATAGATAAATTAGCTATTGTATCTTTATACTTTATTACAAATAAAAATATTTTTATTAAAATATATATTAGTATTGATAATATAAAATGAGAAGTTTATTTATTAAAATTTAAATCAAATGATGAATGAACTGAATTAACTTGAGATATTCTCAATACTATATTTTTAGTATCTAGTCTTATTTTAAGAATAAAATATTTAAAAATTATATTATTATTATCATCAACAATATTATTATTCTTTCTCTAATTATAATTCTTTTCCATTATATTCTTATTTATATTAATACTATCATTATCATAATAAACATCTTCATAATTATGCTTATCATTATCATTGTCATTATTATCATTTCTAACTTTTGATTATCATGTAATTCAAGTTCATTATTATCAATTTTTATTCCATCTTAAAATTCAGTTTTACTATCTTCTATACTATAAAAATAGTTATCGTTATAAAAATATCAAATCAGTTAAATTTTATTTGAATTAATAGAAAATATTATTCACTAATAAAGAAAATTATGAAACTTTATTTTAATAAATCAGTATTAAACTAAATTTAATTAAATAATATATGAAGTTTATTAGTTTAATGTATTAACAAGTCTTATTTAGTATTATTAATAATAAGAGAACTGTAAAACTTCATTTAATAAATTAGCATTAAATTAAATTTGATTAAATAATATGTAAAAATTTATTAACATTAAATATTAATAAGGTTTATTTATTATTAATAATAAAAGGCGAAGCCTTCAATCATATAAAAATTAGAAAATATTCTTACATAATATTTATAAATAGTTTTTTTAGATAATATTATTTATATTTGATTATTAAAAAATTGTATCAAAATTATGTGTTTAACATAGAAAAATTAGAAAGTTTAAATTAATATACTGATATAAAAATCTATTTATTAAAAATTATTATTATATAAAAGCTTTTATTATTTATAATAAAAATCTAAATTTATTAAACTATAAAAAAACTATCTTTCTTACTTTCATTTTTTTACTTTATATTTTCATTAAAATATTTATTTAAAATGAAATAAATATAAAAAGTTTAAGGATCTACTAAAATTAACCATTAAATAAAATATAAGTCACAGTAAGTATTATAAATAAATGTTTTACAAAAATTCTATCATGATTTAAAAACTAAAAAGTTACTAATAAATGTAATGAATTTTTATTTATAATTAGATAGCTGTGAAAGAAATAGAAGAGGTTATAGTTATGATTGTGGTAAAACAAATAAATAATTTAAATCTGCTATAAATATTATGATTAAAGTTAAAGCAGATAATATTTTTAAATTTTATATTAATTTTTCAATTAAATTTTTTTAGAGCTCTGAATCAGATCAGGTCAACCTATTTATCTGATTTGACCTGACCTGAAAATCCATGTCAGGTCAGTAGATTTTCAGATTAATGTCAGAACAGGTCAACAGATCGAACTGACCTGACTTGATCTGATAAAATTCAGGTCAACCAATCATCATTCTTGAATGATGTTTTATCATTCAATTAGAATGATTCATTATCATTCTTGAATAATAGTTTTATTATTTGAAAATGATATTTTATTATCTAAGAATGATATTTTTATCATCTAAGAATGATAGTTTTATTATTTAATTAGAATAATTTATTATTATCTGAGATAGTTTTATCATTCAAGAATGTGACTTTATCATTCAAGAACGATAGTTTTATTATTCAAAAATGATAGTTTTATCATTCAAGAATGATGGTTTTATCATTTAAAAATGATGTTTTATCATTTAATTAGAATAATTCATTATCATTCGAAAATGAAGGTTTTATCATTTGAGAATGATGATTTTATCATTCAATTAGAACAATTCATTATTATTTGAGAACGATATTTTATCATTCAATTAGAACGATTTGTTATTATTTGAGAATGATGGTTTTATTATTCAAGAATAATGATTTTATCATTCAAAAACGATGGTTTTATCATTTAAAAATAATGATTTTATCATTCTTGAATGATGTTTTATCTTCTAATTAGAATGTTTCATTATCGTTCAATTAGAATAATTTGTTATCATTTTTGAATGATGTTTTATCATTCAATTAGAATGATTTGTTATTATTTGAGAATGATGTTTTATAATTCAAAAATGATGATTTATCATTCAATTAGAATGATTCGTTATCATTCGAGAATGATAGTTTTATCATTCAATTAGAACGATAATTTATTGTTCAAGAATGATAGTTTTATCATTTAAGACAATGATTTTATCATTTATAAATGATGTTTTATCATTTAATTAGAACGATTATTATAATTCAAGAATGATAATTTTATCATTCAAAAATGATGATTTATTATTTGAAAATAATATTTTATCATTCAATTAGAACAATTTGTTATCACTTGAGAATGATGATTTATCATTTAAGAATAATAGTTTTATCATTCAAAAATGATAATTTATCATTTGAGAATGATGATTTTATCGTTCAAAAATAATGTTTTATCATTCAATTAGAATGATGATTTATCACTCAAAAATGATGGTTTTATCATTCTAGAATGATGATTTTATCATATTTTATCATTCAATTAGAATGATGATTTTATTGTTCTTAAATGATGATTTTATAATTCTTGAATGATAGTTTTATCATTCAAAAATAATGTTTTATAATTCAATCAGGTCAAGTTAGATTAGGTCAAGTCAAATGAAAATTTAAATCAGATCAGATTTTTATTTGACCTAACCTGATCCTATCAGTTTAAATAACTTGATTGACCTGACATAAACTGACCTGTTTAGAGCTCTAAATTTTCTTTAAAATTTGCTAATTAGCATTTAACATATATTTTAATCAAGTGGTTAAAGTAAAAAAAGAATCTGATACTCTGATTCAAGAATAAGAAATAATAGCTGATAATAAATTAAAACTTAATATTGATTTTTATTTATTATAAAATTTTGAAGCTTTAACATTGATTTTATGTATATTATAATTAAGTCATAATGATAAGTCAAGTCCTATTATTATTACTGTTACTAATAACTCTGATAATAATTCAATAATCTATAATGATATATCTAATTATTTTACTACTTCATAACTATTATATAGATTGCATTTTAACGTAAAAAGATCTTAATTTAGCTGAAATGATCATTTTAAATTGGATTAATAAGTCTAATGAAGAAAACTATAAAATAGAAATGAAAAATACATCTACAAGTAAATTGGATAAAGTTACAATTAAAAAATAGGCTTATCCATAAGTTCTACTAAAAATAAATATCAATATCATCAAAGTAATATTACTAGTCTACTTTAATTATCAGATAGCGATGATGATAAAGGTAATTATTATTTATATTTTCTAAGTAACTTATACTAATACTTTTTTTTTGTATTTTTGCTTATTTTAATAAATTTTTATCATTTATTATGTAAATTAGGTAATATCTATGATCATCTTAAAAACTTAGATAAGAATAAAAATGACAATAATAAAAATAAAGAAATTAAAATTTTAACATTACACAATATGAAAAAAGTAATTTTAATTTTCTTTAATTAATATTTATTATAAATATTTTGATAATTATTAAAATTAATTCTATATTTTTAATTAAGTCTAAAATTTTAAATAAAAAAGAAAATATGCTTAAGTTTGCTAGTGATTAATAATGAAGAGACAAAATATATTATTCATAGTGTATTAAATATATAATGCTTTAAATACCTCTCTAAATTCATTACTTGTCAATATATTTGCCTCTTCTTCAATGATAAAACTTATTGTTATTATAATAAATAATAAAAAAAATCTGACTTAACTTTAGTATAAAGAGATAAAGTATTTTTTTTTAATATAAAGTATCTTTAGATAAGGTTATTGAAAAACTTATCATAAAAATCTTCAATTATAATCTATATAGTAATGATACTGAAGAGGTCATTTGTTATTCCAAAAGAATTCTGATAGATTTTCACAATAAACTCAATAAAAAAATTAGTATAAAGGTAAGAAAATTCAAAGATAATAAATCAGAGAAGGATGAACTACTATGCTAATACTAACAGAAGCAGAAATTGAAGAATTTTTGTTCAAAAAAATTATTAAGAGAATTTTAGGTAAATATTTTAAAAATACAAACAAAAATAAGCTTAAAAAATATAAGACTATAGAAATGTTCAAATTGAGATATTTAAAATTTATTATACAAGTATAACATCAAAACTATTAAAAAACTTGATAAAATTACAATGAAATGTAAAGTCCTAAATAAGTTAGACAAAAACATTATATCAAATTTATCATATGAATGAAGTGAAGAGTTAAAATCATTATACTTAAAATTCATTTCTTTCATTACAGTCCTCAGTGAAAAGAATAGTAAAAATATATTTCAACAATATATATAAATTTTATTTTAATATATATATTTTTTTATTTATAAGAATACATCAGGATGTTAAACAGACATAATTCATAGCATTGTTTAATGTAAACGTCAAAATACATTATTCTGCGAAGGCTACACTGATCAATGTGATTATCATCGCACAAATACTTGCGTATATCATGTGATCAATGAAATATGTCAACGTGATCATCACACTAATACTTGCATATATCACGTGATCAATAGAACAGATCAATGCTTACAATTTTTATTATAATAAATTATAATATGTAAATAACATTTTTATTATTAAATGAAATCTTAATTTTTAATCAATATCTACTATTACCAATCCCAGCATTTTATGAATCGCTCTCTTGACCATTAGAATCCTCAGACTCATTATCAGAAAATACGAATGATTCGTTACCGTTATGATCCATTATGTCATATTCTAACAGTTCTTCTATTCTATCATCTTCTAACGGTTCTTCTATTCCGTCATCTTCTAATGATTCTTTACATTTAAACTAAAATTTAAATGTAAGTAAAATTGTTAATAGTCAAACCACCTGAATCAACTAGCAATTACTTATTCATCTTTGTATAATTGGATTAGAATTCCATTGGTTCATGCGTTCTTGTACTTTTGAGGACAAAATCTCAACCTGATCATAAGTTAGATCTAAAAATATCAGTGCTACCGTGATACCAAATTTGATGTTGTCTTGATTTTGCAATTCTTCTTTAGTAAATGCTTTTTGTAAAATAGCCTCAATGACAAATGGTGAATCTGGATTATTATCATCCATTTTATTCCAGAAATTGTATCTTGCTTTTTTAACTCTTTCCGAATTTTTCTAACATCTGACTTCCTCAAAATCAGCAAATTGATCTAATTTGTAAGAAAATAAGTTTAAGAAAATATAAATAGCATCTTTTATTTTTTGAATATAAGAACTCCTGTGGTTGCGAAAGTATTCTAACGTCTATATATAAAATGTATATAAAAAATTATAAATTTGTATTAGTGTGATAATGATATTTATGAATTATAATAAAATATATACAATAGAATGACTAGCACTCTATAAATTGACCCATTTGTTTGAAATGATAAGCTCCTGCATCTTTTGAGAACAATCCGTTTGAACTTGTGATTTGAAAGCTTGTTCAATATCAGGATCTGATGGGTTCTTGTTTATTTGGAATAGTTGATGACATGCTTTTATTATTGGAGCCTAAAATAAAAGAGTTAATTATTAAATATTATTTTAACAAAAATTTTGATACTAACATCCCACCACATGTTTCGTATCTTTTCTCTTTAAGCGCTGTTTCAGTTTTCTTCCTTGTTATGTTAATTCATTAATCGTGGTTAGTGATCTTGATGTTAAAATAGTAAGAATGTTTTGTAAAAGCTTGCGATTTTCAAAGATCTCATATTTTAATTCATCATTGCTTTCTTGTAGAGTATTAATCATTATGCATTGCTTTAGCTGCTCTTTGACTATTTTCTTGAGAATGGATTGAGCATTTGAATTGATTTTAATATCTAGATGCGTTATATATATGAATGAATATTACAATACAATATTATATAAATTATAATTATAAAAGCGATATAGATTTTAAAAAAAACTCACGTTTTGTTTGTGAATCATCAAAAGCTTCCAGTTTCTTACGCTTGATACCTTCATTGTAAATTGCTATTCAGATAGATCAGAAAATATTATAAAAAGAAGCTTATAACATATTATTATCATACCTGTATGTTTGGGTGATATTGATGGAAAATCTGTGATCATTGCATCAGGTTTACCAGTTGAAGATGATATTGAAGCTTTTAAGACTTTAGATACGCTTTTTTCTGGTATTTTTTTCTTTGACTTTGCAGATTGCTGTTGAGACTTGTTAGATAATTGGCGTGATGCTTCAGAAGTTTTTTCAGCAATTTTCGTAGATAATTGAGCTGGACTGATGTGAACAGCTATGTCAAGATCAATTAGATCATGAACCAATGATTGTTCATCGTGCATTGTATCTTGGTTCTCTTTTCTATACTTCTTTTTGGAGGTTTTCTTTCACTACCAATTAATACTTTATTATTGAATGTTACGACAATCACAAAAACTCACAAAAATACATATACATCTTTTTTAATATTAACTGCTAAATCATCAAGTTCATTAATTTTACCAATGGGTATCTGTATATACGGAGATGGTAAATTTGAAAGAATATCATGATGTTTGACATTCAAATCCTGATCTTTGAATGATGTAGCTTATGGTGCGAACATTATAACACTATCTTCTTGCTTCTTTTTAATCATTGAAGCCTTTTTGGTTTGTATTTCGTTCTTTTCCTTTTATTTGAATTTTAATATGATAAAAAATATTATATTAGTTAAAATATCACAATATAAATTATAAAGAATTTATCATAAGTGAGTTTTTATAGTGATTTTTTTGAATTGGAAAAGACGTTGAGATATTGTCTTTCACCATGCCATTAAGTATATCTCTAAGGGATGATGTAGCTGAACTACTGAATGTACCAGTAGTATTATTATTTTTTTTCTTTCCACGTCTTGAATTTGATGACGTTATGAGAGAGATAATGTTAAGTAACTTAAATGATAAAACTGACGATATTTATAATAATGATCATCAAATAAATCAGTATATCTTAATATATAAAAAGAGGTTAAATGAGTTTCTATTGTTTCATGAAACATAATTATAATGATTATCCTGTATCGATAAAAGAATATTTTATCAAGTTAATCATATTATTGATCTATATAAATAAATTATAAGTTAGTATAATAATATATTATCGTAAACATAATATTTTACATTTAAATTTACCTTTTACATCACCTTAATGATTATATATTCTTCTTTATTATCCTAATAACAACATTCGATTTTTTTTTTTATATCATTTAGACGATGTTTACTTGTCTATATCAATATTGTAATAAAACTTTTTTACGTTGAGTTGCTTTCTGTGAACACGCTAAATCTCACAAAGTTTAGGCTTATTGGAAAATACTTATCAACCTTTCTGATAATTTCAATGACAGTATAGCCGAGTGTTCTAAGAATACCAGTAAAAATAAAAAAAATAATTTCGATGGAATTGATGAAATGATGGTGAATTTTATTGACATTAAACTTTTAGAGTTGTACGATGATATACTTAATATTTTTTTTTTTTTTTTGAAGGATGATGATCGACAAGAGCAAAATATAGAGAGTGATAATCAGCAAGAACAAGAAGTTGATGATACTAGTTTTTCAGTCGATGAAGATGAAGCATTGGATTATACTATCGAAGTTGAAGAGTTTGCTTTTGAACATCATGATTATAATCTACATGCCTCTAAACCAGATCAAACATCATCAATCGATGTGAGATCTATTTTGATCCAGAAGCTTTCACAATTTCCAGATGTTGCTTATTCTGAATTTATAAAACTCATATCAACCCATCACCTTTCCAATTCAGCTGGAAACGATATATTGAAGTGATTTCGCAAGCATCATCTTCAGGAAAATATCATTTTACTAACAAATACAATACAAGGGTGTGAATTCGTTAATTCAATGAATGTTGATCATTTACTTTACCTCAAAACAAAAATACTAACATATGAAAATGAGGAATATTACCTTCATTATCGTTCTATCTTTGATGCTATCAAAGAGCTTTTGTCTAATGCTGATATATTAAAGTACTGTTAATGGAATTTTTCGACAGAATATAATGTCAATGATGATGAAAATTGTGAATGTATATATGAAGAACAATGGACTAGACGGTGGTGAAAATATACTCAACAAACAATTAGAACTGGATTAAAAAAGGTTTTATCGATCATTCTCTATTCTGATGCACGATATTAGATCATCTTGGCAAAAGTTCTGAGCATCCTGTTTATTTATCATTAGGAAATATACTGAATTGGCGAAAGAATAAGCATGATGTTAAAGTATTATTAGGATTCTTACTAAAGCTAAAATAATTACATAATCGCAAGAATAATAGAAATAGTTTTGCATATGTTAAAAGAATGCTGTATCAACACTGTTTTGATGTCATGACACAACCAATATTTAAAAAATTAGAAAATAATGATTTGAATATTATTACTGATAATCGAATAATTTAGACATTTCCATTTCTCTTTAAATTTATTGGTGATTTACCTGAAAGTGCGGCATTAACTCTAACTTATAATTCTTCTCGATGTAAGCGTCCTTGTCATATTTGTACTATAACCATTAATGAATTAAATAATACTGATTTATCACTGTCTCAAATAGAGTTACGAACATCTGATAATATGAGATTTATTTTGAATTGTAATCTTGATCACAAATATTCTATTCATTTAACACAAAATATTTTTTGGAAATTTCGGTAAGTAATTATATTAATGATTCATATTTTGCTATCATTCTATTTTGAA